AAAAAAAAAAAGAAAAGTAAAAAGGTTACCATGGCAACTAACATTCCTCAGCCAGTGAGTCACACAGCCCAGAAGAGCTTCTACCCAGTGGGTGGGACTTGGAGAAAGTTGCAAAAGTGGATTTCTTCTGGGGCAGCCTCCCCCACCTCCCTCCCTCCCTCCCTCCCTCCCTCTCTCCCTCCCTCCCCCTGGTCGACAGACGTGGCAACTGGTGTCTGAGTTAACTCTTGGCTTTCCCCCACCTAACAAACTCTGCTTTTAACAGGCTTCGCCCTGGCCCATTCAAAGGCCTATTTATGATCTCATTTAAGAGACTTTGCTCTAGAAAGTTCCAGAGTCCTCTTCAATCAGGTTCCTTACTTGAGTTTGCTCTTTCTACATCATAGGCACTGGCAGATTGTAGAAACTTTATAAGACAGCCAGAGGCATCATTTTCTGATATATATATATATATATATACACATATATTAATGCTCTTTCTCTGAGGGGAACAAAAATGCATCCCTCATCTAGAAATAAACTGACATCCAGCAGGCGGGATGCATTTCTGTCTGCCTTTCTAACCCAGTGAAGTAGGGAAAGGTGCCCTGGAATGTATTCCTCTTGATTTTTCCTCCGTTTCCTTGCTTGGATACTTTCCTGGTCCTTGAGATCTAACTCCCTTTGTGGATCTTCTCCGGGAAACCCAAGAGACAGAGGAACAAAGCCAATCCACATACTTGCTAAGCGCAGGTGCTATTTGAGGCTGAATGGAGCCAGACTGAGAGGATGGGGTGGGGGGGATTGGAGGGGCTAATGGGGGGGGGCGCGTCCAGGCTTCCTAAAAAGGCTGAGCTCCACCTTTGCCACTCAGGGATCCGATCGGTTTTCTCATGGGTGCAAAAAGGAAAAGAAAAGAAAAAAGTCTCTCTTCTGCCCCTAGATCTTTGGGAAGCAAGTCTAGAAAGACTGTTCTAGAAAATAGACACCAAATCAACAAGCGGCGGGCTGTTGATAGGATTCCCAGAATGGAGGCCAGGTTGGCAAAAATTTATAAAAAGGACAGACAGACAGACAGCTTCTGAAACCCGAGAGACAAACACAGAAAGAAGACATTCTGTGAGAAATGATTGTCTTCCTCCCAAGCAGAGCTAAAAGCTAAACGGAGCGACAAAATATTGAATTGTTTTCTCCAATGCAACGGGGCAGAGTAGCTGAGGATCAGGCCGGGCAAAGGGGGTACTCGTCCAGCCAGGATGATGGGGTGTGGCTGGAGATGTGAGCTGTGGGGGTTTTCTTACCTCTATGGCAGGAAGCTAGCAAGGAGACAGGCAGAGATGTCCGGGCAGTCTGAAGTTCTGCAGGAATGGTGCTGGAGTTTTGAGACAGACTACAGGAAGCCACTCTGAGCTAGAGGCTGGGTCAGCCTCCCCTCCCCCCCACAGTCCCTCCTCCTCCTCCTCCTCTGTCTCCTCCTTCTCTCCCGCTCTACCTCCCCCCTCTCTTCTCCCCAAAGCTACCTCTGGCTTTGTATTTCTTTCATTCCCCCTTCTTGCTGCCCTGACCAGACACCCCCTCTCCCAAGCCCCCCCACCCCACCCCGAATTCTCTACCACCTCATCAGGAATGCCAAGGCTGGATGGACCCCAGGAATCATCTAGAATAGCTTTGTCCTTGTTCAGTGGGCCTGAAGAGGGTGAGGGATTACTCAACTATCCGCCCTGGGGTACAGCCCGGCCCAGTGTCCTGACTTTTACAAGAGGATTCCATTATATTTTATTATTATATATTATATTATATTAGGCAATGCCAAGAAGAGCAGAGAAATTCTGAATAAAGTCGCCTTCTTCTTCTTCTCCTTCTTCTCCTTCTTCTCCTTCTCCTTCTTCTTCTTCTTCCTCTTCTTCTTCTTCTTCTTCTTCTTCTTCTTCTTCTTCTTCTTCTTCTCCTCCTCCTCCTCCTCCTCCTCCTCCTTTTTGCTGGTCATGGGGCTTGAACTCAGGGCCTAGGCATTCTCCCTGAACTTTTGTGCCCAAGGCCAGCATTCTATCATTCCCAGCCACAGCATGACTTCCAGTTTTCTGGTGGTCTGTTGGAGATAAGAGTCTCATGGACTTTCCTGCCCTGGCTGGCTTTGAACTCAGATCCTCAGACATCAGCCTTCTTAAGTAGCTAGGATTGCAGGGGTAAGCTACCAAGGCCGGGCTGAAGTCTCCTACCAGAAGCATCCTTGGGGTTGGGGAACTGTGGTTTAAAAAAAGACATGCATCGAGGTACTGGTGGCTCATGCCTGTAATCCCAGCCTCTCAAGAGGATCTCGGTTCAAAGCCAGCTGGAGCAGGAAAGTCTTTGAGGTTCTTATCTCCAATTAACCATCAAAAAACCGGAAGTAGCACTGTGGCTCAAGTGGTAGAGTGCTGCTAGCCTTGAGCTGAAGAACTCAAAGACAGCACCCAGGTCCAGAGTTCAAGCCCCACGACCAACAAAAACCAAACAGCAACAACAAACATTCACTGTA